TATCCTGTTGAATTTCCAGCTTGGCGCATCCTCTTAACAGAAAATGAGTGGGGTTTGTGAAAATGGTATTCATAATTCAACAGACATTTTCAGATTTCATTGTAGCAACCATATGAGTACCTGACTCTAGTAAAAAAAAGAAATGAGTTTGTTAGTGCTCCTTGTTGAGCAAGCTGCCTCCTAAAAATACCTTAAGGTCGAGGATCAGGCACGCTTTCGGTGCTTTGTCCCAATATTCCGAGAGCCGGCGAGCGAAAAGACCTTATATAAAGCTAGAAAATTTCGGTTTATATTGTACCAAGTCATACAAGATTATAATACAGTTGGAATATGTGGGATTGATTTCGTAACGATAACATCTACACAAACAAAACGGGATAACATCACTTCCTTTTATTTTTAAACGTGTTAAAAATTCCGAGTTCCTAAAATAGCAGTAAGAGTACCTTGTACGTCTACATTTCGGTAATATTACATACATCGACAGGTCTGAAAAATATAATATTGTCCAGAAAGTATGTCTCGCTTCAAAATCCTACATATATTTACTCTAAATAAGTTTAATACGGATTAAAACCTTCATTTTACTTAGAAATTGATTTCAGGTTTATTTAAAGATTGTCATAAAATATATTTATTGAATTGCATGCTCTTTGCATCCGTTTTGGATATACTTATATTTCAATATTTTTGATATTGGTTCTTTTTTTTTAATCTTTTCTCCTTCATTTGAAACAGCTAATCTGATGCAATGGTTCTATTCAAATATTATATGTATTTTAATGTTGTTAATGTCGGACATTACCTCTAGCAGGTTTTAACAGTGATTCAGAGGGGTTTAACTGAAGTTATGCTTAAATATTATTTCTTTATTCTTTATTTTTTATAATAAGTATGCTGTAGTTGTATGTAGCGATTAATAAGTATGCTGTGTTTGAAGCAAGCCAATGTAATTGGGCAGCACCCTTTTATGATAATAAAGTGATTCTCTCTCTACTTTTGTCAGGTTTACTATGAACGGTATCCTTTCTATTCCATTCGACCCTTTTGCAATGCTTCAAGTCAGATATCATTCTCCTTCATTTATATCAACACATTTTATCCTGTCTATTGGTCGAAATGATCAATGCAGGTATTTTCCAACTCTTACTTCCATTACTCGGTTCCAGAATCCTTCTTTGTGCATGGACTAACGATCCTAGTTAAGAATTTGTGATTGTTCTGAGGTGACTAACAGTTCAAGCGGAGGTTTGCCATGGCATTGTTAACCTTGTGCAGATTAGTTATTCCAACTGCTACACAGAGGTTCTCTCATTGTTCTATTATGCATCTTATCAAACTTTGATTTCATGAATCCATAGGGTTTGCAGACTACTGGAATTATTGCTGGTATTTCAATATTTAATTTTGTATCACTATTAATGACCGCTCTCCCAATGGGGACACCAGCAATTGCTTTAATTATAGTTAACAAATATTTTAAAAACAAATGTAAAAGAAACCAAGGGCGTCGCCGAGGACGGAGAATCAATAAACGTTACATTTACACTGCGCATCATCGTTTTCCCTTTTCTTATTAGTTCAATTCTTAAAGTAAGAGGAAGGACCTTTGGTATGTATGGCTGTTGGCTGATCCAGTCAGCGTGATGGTGCTAAACAAATTAACGTATTGGCTCATTGCTATTCTTTCTGCCGGTCTGTCTTATTATTTGGCTAAGAAGTTTGAACTTCATCAACAAGTGTAGTTCCTTGCATAATGTTTAAGTTATTTAATACAACTTATAGATGATATAATTTGTGAAAATTGATTGAGTTGTTAGATCTTGTTGTTGAGGTATGCCGTTGAACGTAATCTGTCTTGTGTATTTTAGATTCATTGTTCTTACATGTCTTTCTAGTTTGTAATTTCACTTATTTTAACATTCAATAAATTATAAATTGAATATCATATAAAATAGGCCTGAAGTATATTTGTTGACTGTTAATGGCTACTTTCCTTTCCTATACTCTTACTTTCCTGATGGCAAAGACAGTGGAGAATTTACGCACTTGCTTGTGTTTTTTTTTTTTTAGTTTTTAGGAGCTGCAGATTGGGGACATTGTATTTTTACATTGAAACGAATTCTCATGTATACAAAACAGGTCAATTCACAAATAGTGCAAGAACTTAAGGATTCTCAAATGAAAAAAGAGCGTAGTTTGCTCTTTACTTCGTCGTATAAGAGCACCTTGAATTACAAGTCGTCGCAGTAAGATTAAAAACACTCAACTTTTTCGCTTGAATCAGTTGGTTCGGCCTCGGGAACTGTGTTTATTAAAAATAGTTATTTTTAATTCATATTCTCTTTTATCTTGTTTTTTTTTCTGTGTTTATTTTCACTATAAATTTAGGGAAGAATTTACTGTTTGATTAAAAATGTGTATAATGATGGATTGAAACAGGCAACCGAAGTCCTTTTTCTTTTTTTTTTCCATTCTCTCCTCTTCATCGAAAATCGGTTTCGCTGCATCTTTCAGTTGGGGAATATGTGGCACTGCAACAAACCCCTGTTCATTTAAAGTTTTACTTACGAATAATTATTTGTCAGTATTACCCTTTACTTTATTAGAAGTTACGATATTAAAATAACATTGGATTAGATGTACATATTTTCATGGTTCAATGTTTTTTTCTTCAAAAATCTTTGCTTTATTCTATCCCTATAGAATCTCCTTCGAATCTCGAGTGAATACCATAGCCGATAAGATGGTTAATTTTAACCTCATTGATAATTATGTTCGACCTCATCGATATTCCAACAATTATACTATTGATATTTGATCAAATGTATTATTACTCAAAATAAACCTAGTTGACAAATATATTCGTTTGATTATTCAAGGAGTAGATAGTTTTCATGTTTTAACTTGTGCATTTAGTAGTGTCCTGAAGTAATATTTAAAAAAAAAAATAATTTACGGTGTCTCTGAACTTGACAGATCCAGAATGCAAGTAATCAGGAAAGAATTTGAAAAAAGCTAATAAAAATATGTTTGTGAGTTAAATCGTAAGCAATGGCTTGATCTACTGTTTTTGAACGACCATTATAATTTAATCATTTATTATGGTTGTGAAGATTTTAGTATCATTACTGAACGATCACCATTGAGATATAAACAATTGAAGTTTATTAAAACCATGATATCTTCCTATTATTTAGATGAATATCAAAATAATAATTCCAGATTTCAGAAATTATACCTAATAAAAAGTTTATAACTTTGCATAATATATGAATGGGTTTACTGCGTCTAGTATTATATTTTATTCATATGATGGTTACTGAAAAAAATTGTTTTTAGTTATGATAACTATACGTTCAAGGTTTCAGCATCTGTGCTTATCAACTATCTCAGATTTGGGAAATACAGTTGATTTTAAATACGCACACTAACCTATGTTCTTTAAGCCAGTAAGCGTTGAGTTAAGCTTTCTAGTAAAATCAAGTGTTCTTCCAACTAACACTAGAAAACTCAATCTGCTGTTTAAACCTGCACCTGTTTAGCTTCGTATATTTCGTGATTCAAATTAAGAAATGTTGTTACACCAATGTACAAGGTATGCATCTTATAGTTTGCAACTTTAACGAAATTACTTCCGTACGTTTGTCATGCTTCTTAATATTCAATTGGGAGTTCATCCTTAGACTTTTTGAACTTGTGATTGGATCATTGTTCCTTTTCTAATTAAGTTCTCTTATGAAAACTATTAGACTTTATGAGGAACCTAAAGTGAAATCGGCAAGAGACCTTGCAAACTATTGGAAACAGAAGAAGTTATTATGAATATTGGAAACATTTTGTGTGCTTTGTGTGGCGAATCTTTTTGCTGAAGCTCATGAACTTGACTAGTTTTAAGCGTCACTATCTTTTATTATGTATCATATGGTTGAATTACGTCATGCAATTAAAAAGGAACAATGCTCAATTTTTAAACTCTTTTTCATTTTTTTTTCTCAGTATTTTTGATTTCTTACAGTTTATTACTTTAGAATGCTTTCAGTACTTCTTTATAAATTAATGAAGGCTACCATTTTCCGGTAATTAAATATATTCCTTCGATTAATAATATTGATTAATAAATTACAGCTCGTTGATGTTGATATGATTCTGTTTTAGTTTCTTTTTGTGTAGTATCCGTTTTTATATCTGGATAGGTAAAAATTGTGTGGAATGTTTTGGTGTAGTATAATTCTTGACATTTATTGTAGTTCACTTAATTTTTACGAAACTTCTATTTACGTTTCTATTTATTGGGAAATAAACATCAATTGTATTAAAATCATTTATTTTATTTCTTCCCCTCCCCCAATTTACGATAAACTCCTTTTTTATGCTAATTTTTTGTTTAATTTATTTTGTTAATAGTTATGGATCCACAGTTAGGGTGTGAACACTATTATAAATGTCCTTAATTGTAATATTGTAATATTTCTCAATAAATAAGTATGCATACATCAATTGTTATAACTATTGCATGATATCATTATGTTAAGACTCTACCCATTAATACTCTTAAACACTGTTGTTGGACAAGATCATTTACATACATCTTGTATGGTTCCTCAACTTTTGTTTTTCCCTATTAAAGTTTGTTTCCTGCAATGACATTGGATGAAACAAGAATATTATTGATGCTCAGGTTATATAAATGAATTAGTATTGTCTCTAACTATTTAATTTCAAATTTCTATACAAAACCCGGACCCTGCATCGTTCTATTTATGAAACTAAGCGTAATTCCTACTGTAAGATACCACATAATCATAAGGCCTTTCTGTTGATTGGAGATTAGGCATAGGTTTAGACTAAGTACTTGTAAAAGAAAAAATATGACTAAACAATGATTTAACTGAAATGATAGAATAAATGAGAAAAGTTTTTTAATGTTCCTAATTTCAAACTCACTGGAGCATTTCTTATATTTTATAAGTAAAATTAATTTTCATTGTAACTTCCCCCTCTCCTTGAAATCTGACATTAGAAAAGTGAATAGTAGATATTAGTTCACATTATCAGAGTTGGTTTATATTCTGCAATGGTTCGAATGTTAAAAGAAAAACATAATTACTTATTTTATTATTATATTCATATAATGTGAATTAACATTGACACTCCACATATGCATAGGAATGAATGTGACATCTAGGTTTTTTCTCCCATATTTGAATAGAACAGATTGCAATTGGTACGAAGGTTGGTCGACGTTTGTATTGAGTTCTTTCCAATTATTTTCTTGTGTGATATTCATTTATGGCAAAACAATACTGTTTGCTCTTTGTCATTGTGGACTGCCTTTAGGAATGGAGTTTCAGGTTCAGTAGAACTATAACATTTCCATCGATGTATAATCCAAGATCGAATACGGAAATCTATCGATGTTCAATTTAGAGCTCCAAGACAAATATTGTATTCCACGCCGAGACTCGACGTTCGGCATACCGTAGTGGGATAGGGAACGCTTCATTGCCAGACCCATAGTCGTAGACTTGGCAACAGCGCTGACCCCTCAAGCTCTCTCTTACGTCAGCTTTGGGAAACAATATTATATATTTTTTTTTTACTATTCTCCACTGTTTGTCGTTCAGTTAATCCAATTTAGATTTGGAATAATATTGATTAGTCATTTGTAATATTGCGTCGGCGCATTGCTGTGGCTTCGCGAAAGTGGTGACATTTTGTCCCATGTTTGATCGACAACCTTTGAGAAATAAGTATGGTCCTTCACGCAATAATTTTGAATTTATGCCAATTAAATTTAGTTTCTCCAAAGCCAATTTGACTGTTCCTAATGTTGTATGGTTGCGCCGATTTGGACCTTCGCAACATCGATAATGCTTTGGGCGGTTTCATTACGTTTAAGCTTCGCTTCATAGGAACATTCTGGACTGCAATACTTCTTAGAATCCACACTATATATACACTTTTTCCTAAATATTTTAATCTGATTTAGAGCTCCCTTCTAAGTTTGTTTTTTTAGCTGTTGTTGGTTCTGTAGTTTTCTCATTAATCTCAAATGATTTTTCGTTTGAAAAAAAAGAAACTATCTATTGATTTATGTTGTGCCAAAATCAAAACTGTCCAACATAAATTGTCATGAAGAACTTTTCAATTTCTTTCATTATCATACTATTTTTATTTTTTAAACATGACGTAGTTATTATTTGGCATACTATCTTCTATTAAAACATGAGTACATTAATGTATCTGGAATTCCTATAATTGGAGGCATCAAACCTGTTGTGCTATACTTTTTACTCTGGTTCATAGTTGCGGAATTGTTGCAATGATACTCCTTTCATGGAACACTTTGATCCCGTTGCTGTTATTTAGTATTTATTTTAATTTTTTTTTTATATCAAAAGAATTGTTGTTTCAGCTGAAATAATTGATTCCAATTATAGAATTGATTAAGAAATTGATAACAAGTGGTCGAAGTTGTGCCTATCAAATGCCCAAATAGTTGAATTTTGTTTCTGACAAAAACCGATCGAATATGTAGTGCATTCAATAACCCCATCTTTCTCATAATCAATAAAATTATCTGTGTTCCATATTATGTTGTTTACGATATTAAAATTTTAATTGTTTTCGGTTTGAAATATTCCAACTTCTTTAATTTGGTTTTGGACCTCTTTAATTGTTATATCATTTTATGTCTATCAGTTTCAATAAGCAGTTTCTACAGTTTCTTAATTTTTTAACGTGACATTTTAAAGAAGTTTCTAGGTATTCTTTATGTTATTCTATTTAAAATAAGAAAATTTTACTTAAGTTGGATTAAAATCATAAATTTTTTTTTAATTGCGGACGAATTGATCCTATGCATTAAGATTATGTCACTATTGTGAGCTGGGTGAATGTGTTCTACTTTCTTCTTTATAATAATAGTGATTTTATTAATAATTGATCGCTCAATAATATTACTTTTCTTTTGTAAGTACCAAAATTGAGTTGGAGCAATAAACTGTAACTAAAAATGCAACCTCATTTTCTTCTGAATCTGAATTGATCTGATTTTTCTTTCCTCTTTTGTGTTATATACTTTTGTTGTAAGACACATTTACAGTGTCTGGATAGTAACTAACTGTTTCCCCATAAGATTCGAAAGTTTTCCATTAAATCATATGTGTAAATAGTTTATTGTTTGAGCATCTGTATTACCATTATTACATTTACGTATATACATTCATAGATGTATTATTACCTTATGTACTGTTTAATTTATTTTATTGTTGGCCTAACGATAGTTTCATATACATTTTAGTGATTCTCAAGAAGACCTTATTCAGTGCAGCGAATCAGCACTGCGCATACGGTTAAACCGAATTTTCTACTGAGGTAAGTGCGTTTCACGTTTATATCGATCATTTCATCGGATGTTATAATGTTTTCATTTTGAATTAAAGTTAACGAACTCAACTGCTTTTGATATTCTTCATAGATCACAGTAGTGATATTCCTTATGATCCTGCTGAATGGAAATCAAAAAATGTGGTAGATTAGCTGACTATGATTTAGCTGACTGCACTTGCCCTATGTCGATTTTTCTCTAATGGATCTTAGAGATTGTGTTGACAATAAAATAAAAAGTTCATCACTAACTGCTCGCAGCAAACTATCCATGTTTTTGGATTCGCCGATTCAGTCGGGTGAATCGTCTGCTGTTCAATCTTCACTACTCCTTGAAGAAAATATTGCCAATACGGAAGAGATAAGATATGAACGATTGTTTGAAGAGCTAATGGTCTTGGGAAAAAAAGTTGACTTTCTCATAAGAAACCATATTATAAGGAAAAAAAGATTAGGCTCGTTGATGGTTGCATTTATGATCCTGAATTATTTTCTCTTTATTTTTCAATGCCAAAACTCTTTTTTCACAAGGATCTATGAAAGATTTTACAATTCATGATATTTTACTTATCTTGAAATGGCTACAGTGTACTATTAGCGACAGGAATATATTTCCGATTTTAATATACTATTTAATTATGCTTTATACTGTTGACAACATTGTGTTTGTAATTAGAATCATATGGTATGTAAAAATGCAATTTATTGCTTGGTTATTGTCAGGAAAAATGTTATCCATAGCTTCTCCTCCCTCAGTCCTGCTACTTGCGTAACTGGTTATTTGTATATGATGATGTGCATGATCTGATTTTCAATCGAAAGAATATTCTCAAGTGAAGCTACTTTCTATGTTAAGTTTTTATATTTAAACGTTAACACCATGGAAACACTTTATTTCTTTTAGTTAGGGTAGATAAGTTATATTTGTTGAAGAAAATGTTACGTTACTGTTTCGTGGGATCGATCAAGCTCCATTTCTTAAGATTAGCAGAAGTCAGAAGATCCAGATTACTTTTGCATGGAATTTTATGCAACGAACCCGAGATCGAAAAAGTCCTAATAATAATTTAAAGTACTGATATCAATTTTACTTGGTGAAGGAAAAGAATTTCGGTGATAGAAACTTGTATAATGTTTACATCTCTTCTGTGTTCTGTGATATCCATTTAATTACCAATGCTGTTCGTCTCCAACTGTGAATTAGAACAATATCGACAATTTACGAGATTTCTCAAACATCCATGCTGGGTAACTGCGAATCTTAAAAGGCACTAAACACGGCTGCAGTTTCGGAACTGAAATGGTACAGCGGGAAGGTTGGCACTGGGAACTCCGAGGCCTTCACAGTGCGCATGCCCGAAGCAACCTAGTTTAATGATGTCGTCAGTCAGGCCTCCGTCCTTACGCTTTTGGGACCGTTGGATCCTTCATAGTGAGTAGATATTTGATTTTCATGATGTTGCTTACTGTTATTACTACGTCCAGTATTGAAAGGACACGATAGTGGTATTGATTAGGCCCACGGACCCCTCGCTGCGACGTCCAAAAGGTTGTTCGCATTCAAAGGAGGCATGTTCAGAGTACCGAAACGTAAGTCAACAGTTTGGCAGGCCACTGCCTTCTAAATTTGTCGCTATTATATATTTTTTGAATATGTAATCCACGTGCAATGATGATAGACAATAATGATGGCCGACCGACTTATAAAAAAAAACTAATATATATATAGTTTTACTTGATAAAAAAAGAAGTTTATTATTTACTTTGAATGCAAAATTTTACTATTTATATAAATGGCTTTAGAATTGAAAATATTTGAGATTATACTCTCCTGGTCTATTCTGATATGGATTATTTCATACGTAATTTAAATATATATATATAATACCTATGTCATTGCCGGAAAATGATCATTTTGTTAAGCTGTATATATTTAGATAGTTATTAAACCTTAATCGCTTTAATTGGTCGAACTTAACATCTATTGACATTTTGATAATGCTTGGCCCTGTTGATGGTTGCTTTTGCATTGGGAATGAAAGGTGTGATGACCAATGACCAATTCATCTCTATAGAGGTCGAGATCGTCAGTAGAAACATTCATGAGTTGCCATTGACATTGTTATTGCCTTTTTCTGATAATATAAATTTATGATTCCGGTTCCAGACATAATTTGCGAGATGGAATCAGCAGTTCTCCTGAACAATGCCTACACCCAGGATTGGCTGTTTTGCTACAATCCTATGAATTCCTACCATCGCGGTTATATTTTCCATTATCAAAATCAAAATTTAAGCTGAATTTAGAGATACTGATGATGCATTGTACATGTATAATTTATTAACATTTTACATAAGATAAAATAAAGTTTCCTTTTTTGCTGGATACAACCAAGCATCCAAATATTCCAATATGAATAAAACAGGGTTTATCTAATCACCTGTATTTGTTCATATGGTCTCATCTTTTATAGGTTTGTTGAAAGTACCTTTGATATGCCTTCTATGTTTTGTTTGTTTTTAACCACATGTTTTTAAGACATAGTATATGATGTTGGTCCGCAAAATGCTGAAAAGATTGGGATTCATTTTCAGTCCTTCCCACGTGACTAGCCCGTACTTCACGTCTGCTGATCTTGCTTTGGAGTCGATTTTGTTGAGATTCTTTTGGTTTATCAACGATAAATGTTATTTTAATTCCTACTCGATCATCAAGACTCTCGATATAAGAATCAATTTCCAATATTCTCTTCTTTATCTTTATTTTTTCGTACTCAGTATTGACTGTATTGGTCTGTCTGAAATTTTAAGGGATTGGCTCCTCCAATCGATGATAATGATTACACTTTCGCAGTGACCCCGTACTGCTCTTCTACCTCTACTCTATTTAGAAGCGGTACAATAATCACGGATGATGATGAGTCGTTGGATACTCACTTAATTTAAACAGCTGTCACATCCACAGCACCCTCTCCTTGTTTGATCTAAACGCTTGCAGAAATTATCCGACCGCTTTTCATTTTCATCTTGTTCATTAGACTAACACCATACAGTCATTGCTGCTGCTGTAATTACTTAAGTATCCTGAGCTCATAAGGTTTACAAAAAGACCTTCCTGATTTCAATTGATTGAATTTCTAAATGGGTGATTCCTTTAGTTGGAGAATAGGATTAGTCCGAAAGTGAGACCTATTTGTAAAACACCGAAGTCTTCTTAGAAGTCCTGATCCAAGTTGGAGTATCAAGATTAATTTCACGAGCCATAGAATAAATATCAATTGTCTCTTCTTCGAGAGATTCGAACAGAGTGGATAATGAAATGAAATGAAAAGTAAATTTTATTCTAGGGCATTCAGCCCCCTAAGAATAATTATAATGAACAATTTAGTGACATTTGTCTGGCATATAAGTTAATCATCTTTTTCTTGTTAATTACATTACATTGCTATGACTCAAGTCTTTATATTAAAATAAAGAAAGGCATAGGTTAACATTTAAATTATAGGTAGATTTATAAAAGTGTGTTTACACATAGACAATGCTTACTGTAAGAAGACAGTAAAATGAGGTGACGTCTCTAAAAAAAAACATTAAAACATTATTCTAACATGTATCCGGGAGATTGATTGCTGAGGAGATGGATAAATAAATTGTGTTCAAATGTGGTTAAAGAAGAGGATTTGCACACGGAAGTAAGTAGGGAATTCCAAAACAAGGTAGCAGGTAGGAGAAAAGATTTTTTAAAGGAAACAGTTCTATGAGAAGGAATAAAGAGGTTCGTGGGCTGGGATCTCGTGTTGAAAGAATGGACAGAATAACAAGGAGTAAACAGATCAAGAAGGTAAGAAGGTTTCTTTGTTGCAAAGGTTCGGAAAAGGAGGACACCTAGAAAACATTGGCGTCGGAAATCTGGATAGAGCCACTTCAGCTAGGTGTACCAGCTGGCGAGGTGGGAGCTCCATAGATGAATCTAATGAAACAATTCATTAGTCTCTTCAATCTGATCTCGAGCCCACCAGACAGTCCACCGTATACAAGGCAGTGAGGTGTGAATCGAAGTGAGGGAAAATGTGAGAGGAAACTAGGAGCTGACGGGTTTTTAGGGGCAAAGAATGACGGGCATGCGGCTCATAATAACGTATTAAGTTATATCTTTCAGATACTGTTTTCTCTTGACTTCAGAATTGATGTGGTTAACGATTATTATTATTTTACCACATGGCTCAGTTACAATGTCGGTAAATGATCATTAAAGTAAAGAAAACGTGAAAAACACATTGCAATGTATTGGATTCCGTGGGCGTAGTAAACAATGCCATTGAAGATAGTATTTATTTTTCTGTTCTCTTTACATAAATTAAAAAAACAGTATTAATTTAAATTCTCATTTGAATATTTTGCACGATAGTTTTTATACTTTAAACAGGAGTATTTGTAAACTTAATGGTTTTGTAATGCATTTTGCATCACATGCAATAGCCGCTTGCATCCGATTATTGGTAAAACAATAGTGCATTAATAAATTGAGAACGTACCTTCCATACCATTGAATCCTGCAAAGCTCGGCCTTTCTACAGTAAATTAATCATCTCTCTAAATAGTAATAGAATTCGAAGACGAGGAAGTTTCTAAATAAAAGGCATTATTGATATCCTCACAATTTTGTAAAGAACATTATGTAAGTCCATGTTGCTTTAATAGATGGCAAGATATACTAGTACTTATTTTTTGTGTTTTACGCATATTCAGTCGCGATAAATGAGCTGGAAATTATCTGTCGGTATATAGCTTTATTACTATTTATTTGTCCAGAACTGAAAGTATTTCTCTTAGCCACTTAAGAAAATCCTGCTTTAGCCAATAATTTTCTATTTGTATTGTTACCCCAAGATTTTAAGAAAGAGTTGTGAATTCCCAACCAAGCAGTTAAAATTTTGTTAGTACAGGCTATGGAGCTTACTTTACCTCAATATTGGCACTGAATTCAAAACATTCCTTACTAACGGCACAAGAGAAAGCACGCTTGTTACATGCAACCGCAAACTATTTTATTGTGTTGTTAGGATCATCTTCTTTAAATGTGTAGAAACTGACCCATCTCCGAGTTCTTTGGAGCTTTCCCAAATTCCTTTTTTAAATTGAAAACCCATCCATTGCCCTCAGTGATCAGTCTGTTGCTTAGCGGGAAATATCAAGTGCAATACCAATTAATATATTGTATATCACCGAAATTTAAAGTTTAATGTTCTTTCATGTATGATTCTTTCCACTTAAGCTAGGTTGGCAAATAGCGAACACGACGTTGCCATGTTCCATAAATACACTTAGAAATTACTCTAATATGGCTCTTCTTAATGTTATGACCTTTTGACGTACATTTCTTTAAAGGAATCCATTTTATACAGCGTGACTTATTATACACACGCTTATGCTTTTGTTTATTAAAGGTTATGTTTGCTTATAATCAATACATAATATATTCCCCCTGTCATTAGAAAAGCTTAGCGTCGGTCTCAATGTGAAACCACTCTTCTGAACTGCTGTATAAAAAATTACATTTTCATTATATTGAGATATTTTTCAAAATAGTTCCTCTATTTCTTAGTAGACAATAACAAATTACTAATTAGAGATGCTGTATTGAATAGAAAAAAACAATTAATTGCTGTGCCTGAAATGTCTGTAACAAGGATTACTTTTCTTTCCATTGTGATTTTTTATCGATATCAGATCCTAACATATTTTTAAGAGAATGCGACGGTCAAGGTCATTGGGGCGTGGTTCCCATCTCGCCCGGCTCAGAGTGGTATGGGTTCGATTCTTACTTAGGTCTGATAATATTTATTTCTTCGTTGTCTGCAAAGCTCCTGCGTGTTTTAAGAACAACATTTCGATATTTACTGGGGTTGGAAAAAAGTCTTATCAAGCCGTCCCACTTGTGGGGCCACTCCCCTCCCACTCCTCTAGCAATGTTAGCAGCACCTCGCTTGTCCTCTGTGTTAAAAACTTGTCGAGGAGAATGCATTTTGTAGTTGAGTTCACTAACCATAGGATTAAGATTAACTTATGTCGACTAATTAGAAGTAAATATTGAGGTTATTAAATTTTGATGTTCCTGATGAATACCCACTTAATGGCGAAACAGATGAACGTTGAAATAAGATAACACCCATTCATTAATCTGAATAGAATTAAATCTATGCTGCTTATGTTTATTCTTTTGCCACCATTCATAATTCAAAGACAATATCCGTGCTACCTAGGCGAAGTCTAGAACTCCAATGAATCCTTAAAACTTAAATGTATAAATTCCTGAATTTGTTCTTCTGAATTAAAATTTTTCTATGATCCATTTGGAAAGATAATTCTCTTATTGAACGATTAGATGAGTCTGCAACACTACAGAATAACATGAGTCTTTCTAATTATACA